TTTCACAGCCACGCTACTGAAGCAGCCTGTCCAGGCAACCCATCTCTACTACTTCCGGCATCTGAGCAATATATACATGTTAACACTTGCTTTGTTCCTACAGGCTGAACACTGTGTCCATCACCTTGTTTACTTTCTAAAACAGAGAAAAGTGAATAAATGCATGTAGGGAGAAGCAGGGAATCCCAGCAAAGTGTTTATTCTAATGTTGGAGGCTGGAATGACTAGGAAGTAGTAAAGAGATGGAGGTATAATCAGGAGGAGGAAGAGACAGAACCTGCCTCAAAACTACAGCGGATAATGATGAAGAGGCAACTGAGGCAGATAGGGTGCAGTACATCAGTGAAAAGGATTTTTCTCAGGGCGGTTTTGCTGGGATGCATGGTGAGAGTGGGGTGGAGGACAGAAAACCACAGAACCAGCTAAGGTTTGTGATCATCTGTTGGGAAAGCATGTTAAGTTACCTCCAGTCATGGCAACTCAGAGAGCTTCAGGTGTTGCACCGTATATTAAAATTATATAAATTAAGCACTGGGTTGTTGACAAGCCAGGGATTGTTAGAACAAATGAATTCAGAAAGCACAATAACCCAACAATTTAGAAATAACCCACACTCAATCCATATTCAACACTCCCATGGAGGTTATATTGTTTGAAACCTGTCATTATGAGTGTGCTTCAGCACAAGGGAAACTGCACCATCACCGTCATTTCAGATTGTTGGATCTGTTATTTGTGCAGAAAAATAACATCCAAGTTAAACTCAACACCAAGCCTCAACCCCTTGCCTTGGGTTTTGTTGCAAGGCTTTATAATACGTTTGTCTGTAGAAAGATAGCAACACCACAGACAGGGCAACCCAAGATTGCTTGGAGCAATTTTCCTGCAGCAGTTTTCTAACAAGCGGAAATAATTCTTCTAAGACTTATTCTTCTAGGAGACTTAAGCAAAAATACACACATATTTGGGGTGGTTTTGCCACCACTTCTTTTGCCTTTGGCCCTGCTCTCTCTTGTAATGTGCCCCCAACAAACTTGTCCAAAATGGAATTCTCCCAGGGGTTGAAAGAGATTCTCTACCCTTGATTTAATGGTAGCAGCACTGGTAGAGATTTAAGTCTGATGGCTTAAACATGACTTACCATACAAGTGGACAAGCAAAACCTCAGAGCCCTCCCTGCATTCTTTAGCTGGAAATACTGAATGCAACATAACTCAGCTCCGGAGCACTTTGAGAATTACATTGCCTCTAATGACTTTTCCTTGCTTGTACTTGAACAAAGATGGGTGGGGGCTGGGAGAAAGAATTTGAACATCCACCCCACCAATCAGGAAAGCAGCCTTGGATCTTCACAGCTCATTAACCCAAGCTGCTCATTTATATTCCAACATCTTTTCCCCTATAAAGCTCTACAAGCCCCAACAGAGTAATTTTATGCTGGCAACACAAGTGATCAAAACTTGCAGAGAAATTGCATGCTGTGTACATGGGAAGCAAGGAAAAAATATATCCCCTTGTCCTGCGCATTTACACCAAAAACCCGCCTCGTTAGTACATTTTTAAGTAAACAAACATGCTCATGCACCCAATAAACATTACTTTTTTCTGTGAGCCAATTTCTTTATATGATTTTTCTCCATACTGTATTTTCTCCTAATGACAGCTGCTCTATGGTGGATATTGTACAACAGCCTTCCTTATAATAAATTATATTTTAAAATTTGCCATCTTTCTAATTAGGCAAAGTGACTCGAGGACACTTTCCTCATTATTTCTTACATGTGTTAGATGTTTGCCTGAGCTCTACCAACTCTTCAAATTAATCAGACTCGTTATGGTTGATTTATTATGTTAATGGCAGGAATATATTATAGATTGCTGGTTATTTCTTTTTAAGTATTTTGTTCAGGAAAAAAATACACACACAAAACAGCTGCCAGAAATTTCTCCAACAGTCAAAACTCATGATTACTGAGGATGAGATGACTGTGTCAGCTATACCAACCTCATGTCAATCAGTCATGTCTTTTGCAATTCCAGCATGTGAAGTACTTTTGCAACAAAGGAGTATTTATCAGCTGAGTAACCCTGCATACGCTTAAGCTTTCGGAAGAGGGCCAATTGCATCAGAACAGATGGTGTAAATCTTTGATGTGACCTGCACAATATTGCAACTGAATACAACCTGTCAGATGCAAACTGAATTAAGGCCTCCACTGGGACCATGCTTGCAATGCAAGCATCATTGAAACGACTCCGTGGAATTTTTAAAATGAGAATTTAAGTATTCATATGCCACTTTTCCACTTTACAGTCTGTAAAGCAGCTCATGGCAATAACATTCATAAACAAATTCAGTGCAAAATCAGCCCTAAGACAAAGATGTGGGCATTTGCAAGAGCAGTTGAAGAGCAGTCTTGGGTATTGGTGTTAATAATGGTATTGGCTACACAGCGCTGTTTTTGTCGTCACAATCACACAGGGATCCTAATTGCATGGAAGCAGGTTCTTCTGTGTCATTTTCTTCCCTGCAGTTGCTCATGCCAGTGAATGGATGCTCAGGAGATGAGGTCAGGGACATACATGACAAAAGAAGGGAAACCAGCTGGGTGGCAAGCACAAAGAACACCCTTCATGTGGATAATGCCTGAAGGGAGCTTCAAGCAGCCTGAATAGTGGGCATGCTACTAACTCTTTGCTTCTCGCTACTGAAAAAACAGTATGCCTGAGGAACATACTGGAAAGGCCCAATAGGTACTCTAGGCCTTCTCCAGCCCAGTGCCCTCCACATTTTTGGACTTCAGCTCAGCCTCAGACAGCATGACCAAGGTCAAGCGTGCAAGTTGTTACCCGAAACTTCTAGAGGGCACCAAGTTGAGGACAGCTGCTATAGTCTTTGTTACTGCCCTGCCATTCTTCTCAGCAGCCTTTGGATTCAGCCGGAAAATCTTTTTCACTGCACAGTAACATCTGGCACTGCAGAATGATGGCTGAAACTTCCCTGAACTTCACCTGCTGCTGCCATGAGCAGGTCTGGATGGGTCGAGCTCTATTGGGCTCATGTGTTCTGCTCATGCACAAAAGTAGGCGTATGCAAGGAACAGCTTTGCTGCATCCAATTATTCACCTATGACAGCATTCTGAGCGATGCCATGTAAGAATTGGCGGTCTGCACAACAGAGCAAGCCAAGAAGGCACTGCTCCAACTTCTACCAAGCCACACTTCAAGCCCACAGTGGAGAACAGGAGAGGCACTGAGCCTGCCAGCAGCTTCATTCTCTCTGGGTACTCTGCCATCGCTGCACCCAAAGAAATATCAAGATGTGCAAGTGAATAAGTCCATTGCTCATGCAGTCCACAACCTTTCCCCTTGCACCTCTTGTGCATTATCCCTAACCATCTTGATAAGTTGTAGCACTAAGCTAAAAACAACAGAAGGACATTTAGTAGAAACAAATACCAACTTCTGCACCTAGGAAAAAGAAACCAAATGCATCTTTACAGGATTCTTGGATCAACAATACTGCAAGTGAGAAGGCTCCTGGAATTGCTCTAGATCACAAGCTGAACATGAGTCAACTGTGTGATGAGGCTGCTAAAAGGGCAAATGTTAGGGCTGTGTTAACAGGACAATTGCTTCCTTATCATGTGAAGCATCCTCAGCACCAGTTAGGCCTAATCCGGCACGATGGTTTAAGACAGATGCAAACTGGAAGGGGTTTACAGGAGGACAACAAGGATGATTTGGGACAGGAGACAAAGAAGATAGAGTGAAAGAATTGGGCATGTTCCCTTGAGAAGGGAAGTTTCAAGGGAGATATGATAACACTCTTCAAATACTTGAAAGATTGTCACACAGAGGAAGGCCAGGATCTCTTTTCAGGGATGCAGGAGCCAGACTTATGGGCTCAGACCACAGGAAGCCAGATTCCGGCTGAATGTCAGGAAGAACCTCCTGAGTGTTAGGGCAATACTGCAATGCAACCAGTTACCCAGGGAGGTTGTGTGCTCTCCCAGCTGCAGGCCACGGCACCACACTGCACCTCCCTCCCCTTTCCCTTGCGCGGCTGTTACACCGGTCTTATTGCTGGAATCACGCAGCATACGATTGTCCCTGAACCGGCAGCAGCAGCTACTGACCGTGTGCGAGAAAGAGGCGCCAGCCGAGCCAAAGCGCGCCTGCAGCGCAGTTCCCCGCACGCCGCGCACCACCTGGCCGCGGGCCACGCGGGCACGGATCTTCTCGCCATTCAGCGCGCAGCCTGGACCTTCCACCATCGCTGCGGGGAAACAAGAGCGCACGGCGCCCAGGCGGCAGCGGCAGCGGCAGCACAGCGCCGGCCAGGACGGAGACTCGAAGGCTTCGTTCAAATTTCGCGCCTCCCGATTCCCTGCTGCTCCGCCCAAGCCTCGCTAGCGCTTCCGCCTCCGGCCGCCGTGGTTTGCACTGGCGTCTCTCCAGCTGGAGGTTGGGCGCGTGGGGCGAGGGCTGGAGCTGGTGCGGTCCCAGAGGCTGCCTTCGGCTGAGCGCGTTGCTTCGACTTGCCCTTCATTTCTAAAGAATGACCTTTGTTTCTGCGCATATGGGATGAAGAAATAATCATATATCAATGTCGTAGCGTTCCAGCTCTTCTTTTCTTTTTAATACTAATAATAAATTGCCTGGCTGTAGAATGCTGGAAGCTTTAGGACTTTTTCTGTCGAAAGATGCACAGGATTGAACCCTTGTGGACCGATTTTCAAGTGCAGTTAGATTTGGTTAGAGGTCGGCTGCAACATCTTACGCCTCTTTGGGAGCTCAGGCAGGTGGGCTGAGAAGGGGGCAAAGGCTGCTACCCACATAGCGCTCAGCCTGACCTACCTCACAGGGGTGCAGTGGTGATGGAGGGGGATGACCATGTAGGTCTTTGGAAAAAGGGAGGGATCTGAATTATCACATAAGTAAGGCCTATCCAATACCAAAGCAACAGGATTGGGTTAACCTTATTGAAAGGCAAAGAAGTGGGTAAGCTTTTGATTTCATCAACACTCTTCATCAAGCTATCTGTTAAGCAAAAGCTGGAATAGGCGGTAGTGTGGGTTTGTGGACAGAGAAATAGATGTTTCTGCCCCATATTGAAGATCGGGTAGGGGAATGAGCAAGCTGCCTGAGGCTGGGCTTGACACAGATGGAAACCCCCTGCCCTCTCTTTGAAAATGTAAAGGCCAGAAGTGATTTGGAACGGATTTAAGGAAGAGATGCTGTATATGGAAGCATCTGTGGAGCTTGGATATTTGATAGCACTTTTTCCAAGTTTGTTCACATTACATGGATTTCTTTAGATCTTTTTTTTTAACAGAGTATTAAAGACAACACCTCCTCTCATTCCCATCAGAATATGCTCCATGGAAATTCTAGATTCTACCACCTGCACGTCTCTCTGGCACAGAGTGGGAAAAAACCTCCCCTTCCAAGGGTATAAGTAGCCACTGGAATAGCAACAGAGCTTTTGGTTTTCTCTGGATACGGCACTTTCAGTGGGTTTTTCAGAATAAAAATTAAAAGGTCACAGTGCTGAGAGTTGCAAAGCAGTGCACCCACTGAGCACAGACTTACTTCCATGTAGACTTACAGAAATCTGCATTCCTGAAATTTAGGTTTTCCAGTTAAAATGAACTGAGCATAGTGCATTACCTGTTTCCATAATGAAATAAAATGGTAAATTCCCTGCATATATAGAGATCATATTTGGTGCATGCTTGTGCTATAGGGGAATGCTGTGCAAATACTTAAACATTATCCCCTAGTTATCTCCCAGTGAATGTGCACCCAAAGAGTGTCATTCCGCCCCCCTCCCCTTCATAGTTTCCGAAGCCATTCAATTATTCTGTTACATGAGGCAGAGAATTCCATAAGGACCTCTTCCCATCCCTAGCAGTAGAAATACAATAATATCTAATTAAATAAGTAACAATTTGCTGCCCTTTCATGTCACCCAATATCATCTGCCTCGCTCTGCCTCCTGCCTACGACTACAGTGGCAAATGCCTGTATGCCTGAATCAGTGGATTTCCACATAGTTGCATTGACATATACTTCATTGGAGTTGCTGCTGGACAAATTACATCGGCTGGTAGAGTATTCTAGGGCAGAAGCAAGGTACCCAGTGGCCTGCTCTGTGTTTATCAGTATACTCCCAACTGGTATGTTTCTTTTTCTGCATTGGAGAAGACGAGAGTGGGTGTTTCAGCCGGTGTGCCTGAAAACAGTGTTGATGACTTTGGCTAAGCTAAAAAATCTTCTTTTAAGACGCACACGTCTTTCATTGTTCTGTTATTTCACCCTGCCAATTACAGTCTTGGGAAGCTTTACAGCCTTATTTTGCCATCACTTCAGTGTTCCTTGGATCAAGAGAATGCCTATCCAAACTGGTGCAATTTCTATGTGATGTAAAATGGTCATCAAATGTTTTACTGTTTTTGATCTAAAGAGCATGGTTGAAGAGAAAAAGCTCAGTGCCCTGTGGCAAAGCAAAGAACAGCAGGCAGAACTGAAGAAGCAAAAGGAATGAGATACTTGGCGTAGGTGGAGGGGTCACCTGCAAGCGAATATATTACAAGTTATTTCTAGACTAATGTTTCCTCTGTTGTTAGATAGATTGTTGGATAGATTACAGTATTGTTTCAAAGAAAGGCAAAATGATTTAGAAGATGCCTATTTATCGGACCATTTATGTTTGCAGTCTTGGCTTGCAAGCCTGTGTATTTCATAAAAGGTAGAACGTCAGTTATGATGCAGGAGATCAGATCCCATCTCAGCCATGAATGGTCCTTGTTTAGCAGCCCATAGGAGATCCTGTGATCTTGGAGCTGGGAATCAGAAGGACAAGCTCCCTCTTGGCACCCAGTGTGAGAAGAATTGTCCTTTGGTGCCTCTCTTGGTGGTGAATATGCCTAGGAAGAGAGAAAAAGGAGTAGTGGGAAGTTCGGATTTCTGCCAGCATCTCAGTTTCCTTCCGTCCATTCCATGATGTTTTATTTATGGACGGTCTGAGCTAAAGGTTGTGAGATGTTGTGGATACAATAAAAGCTTAACCCAGGATACTGTTCTGGGTTCTGCCTCCTCCATTTTCTTTTATCTTTCAGCTGAAGCAAAAATATTCTACAGAGGTCCTTGTTAGGCCTCAGTTGCTTTGGGATTTGCTTGACTATGATATTACTTCTTATTGACAAAAACACACCTTCTGTGTATCTAGGGAATACTCTGAGTATATGGAAACTACAACCCTATTTTGGGAAGGCTCCGTTTTGCTTCCAAATTGATAGGCATTCAAATAACTAAATTTGTTATTAGAATCTACCAGTCTTCCCAACACAGTGCCTTCCAGATACGTTGAACTACAAGGCCCATTCTTGATGAGGTGATGGATCATTTTTCTCCTACTGTGCTATAATGGAGAAATGTTTTCAAATGCAGAAAACTCTTTTTTTCTTGAGCTCTGCTATGGTTACCTATTCAGCATCTTGAAAAATATGCTATTGCATATGGAAGTCTTTTTTCTTTAGAGGTATTTGGAGGTTTTTTGAACAGAATTATAGAGAAACATTTTAGCACTAATTAGGATTGAAAATAAACAGCTGATAAAGCTCAGTTCACAGTAAAGGTTACAGTGAATGCGTTCATAGCTTTGCCTTTCCCACCCATAGCAGGTATGATACACTCACTGCTGCAGATGGAATATACCAGGATGTACAAAAATAATTTTAAAAATGGAACCTTTAAAACTGCTTGAAGGGTTAATTGCAATTCTACTCATACCATACAAGAGAAATGATTGCATAGACTGAGAACTACCTGTCTGGTACTAGCTATGGAAATCTCCAGTAAGTGATGGTTTTTCTGCTGCTAAGAGATGCATTTTCTTTGCCTTTCTCCTGCTTTCCAAATGCCAGGATTCCAGGTGCCCCGTTGCAAGCCTTTATCAGCTGCTTGCATATATGCGGCACTTCATTTTAATTAGCCTCGAGATCCAAGTCTCTGATGGAATAGCAGGGGTCCCTAATTATCTTCACAAACTAGTGATCAGCCCAGAAAATGAGGAATGAATAAGGCATTAGACAGTCAGAGGCCAGTAGTACAATCAAGGAGAAAAGCTGAAAAAGTGGGAGATAAGGAAATCATTTTTTCAATGACTTATCAAATCTCAAATTAGTTTTAACCATCTTTTTTGTGTGTATGTGTGTTTGAAACAAACTGGCTGACTTTAAACATTGCAAGTCTGTCTTCTAAACATTCATCTGATGATACACACATAACATGCTTAAGTATATTTATGAAGCACTATGTTGGCTTTTAGCCATCAGTATTTGCTGAAAGATATCATCATCATCAATAATAATATTCATTTAATTTCACTTCTATACTTCCTGTAGCTGAAGCTTTCTCTATATAATAGAAAAATAAGCTTTTTGTTAAGGATACGACATAATAGTTTTATAAAAATTGTTTACTTTTAATCATTGTCACATGACTCTCTTGGACACAGGAAATCGCTTGAATAAATGTGATGGTTCAGGCTAGTGTTCAGTCAGGATTCCGCAACCCTTCCAGTTCAGATGATGGGCAGCAGCGAGCAAAGGCAAAGAACTCTGACCTCGTCCCAGCCTGCAAAGCACTTGGCTGATTTGGCCACCTGAGTGTGGCACTTTGAAGCAGGACGAAGGAAGTGTGGGACTCCAGAACACCTTGTATTGTGACAGCATTGCTCCCCGCTCCCTGTCCCCAGGACTTCAGCTCCACTCCTTTTCTGAAATTATGCTCGCTGATGGGCTGTGCGTGTGTCTACTCTAAGCAAAGAATCCCATCAGTGACATCAAAGCAAATTTCTGGAGCTGGGACTCTAAAAAACCAATAGCCTTCTAGATGCATTGTATCAGCCATAGGATTGTGCTGTTGAATGGCTTTTGTGATAAAAGGGGTAATGCCTGGTACCATCTTCTTAGGCCAAGTTTCAGACTGTGTTATTGATACTTTGGGGCCATCAACAATGCCATATATATAAGTTCAATCCATTGTTCTCAGATCTAAAGAGATCTGGTATCCGTTGTTGTCAGACACTTTTAATATTTCCCTCTGGAAGGTCTTGGAGTCAGACCCTTTAGGAGCATATCTTCTATATCCTAGGAAATAATCCACTATTTCTGCATTTCCACTGAATTTCCATCACATCCTATTAGATTAATGTCTGTGAATGAATCTTAAAGAAAAACGAACAGTTCTATTATATGCTTCATGTCCA